GCAGGCTGCTGCTGCCAGCTGGAGCCAGCACTGGGTTCTTCCTGGCACTCGGCACAGGCTGTGCTGAACAGACTCAGGTGCTGGCATTGGCCCCAGCTGGCAGCGGCAGCATGCTGTCATCCCACATGCAGATCTGGGGACCTGTTCCCCCTGGGAAGAGCCCAACACAGCCCTGCAGCCCTCCCTGGGGGCACGGACCCTCAGATCTGTATGTGGGATGACAGCAGGCTTCTGCTGCTGGCATGTGATACGAGTTTTGCTTTGAACAGTTTGAGGTATAGTTTCCCATAAACCCCTGCACCTGTCTCCTTGAAACATGGCAAGCTTTATGGCCTCAAAAGGAGCTACCATCCGTGGTATTTTCATCTGAATCAGGCAAGAAATGGCAAAGTTTATAGGCATTTTCATGATTCCCCATTATAGTCTATGGGTGAAACATCAAAACAGCCTTACTGCCTATCTTTTTTTGGAAACACCACTTCTCACAGGGAGAGAAATATTTAGTATACATATGCTGGATATTTCCAAAATTTTGCTATATTATACTGCCAGAAGAAACAACAGTGTGCTGCTCCATGTATTTGTGGCTAAAGGCAGCCATTCAAAATGGCTCAGTGGGTAGTAAACTTTCTCACTGGTAATATCAGTTGGTCTTTCCACCAGATGTCAAGGCTCACTCCACCAAACTTCAAACAGCATCCTTTGTTTGCATAAAAAATGTACTCATATGTGAAGGTACAAGGCACTAATCCAGAGTAACATCACAGAATTTTGTCAGGCAATAGTTGTTGGAGTCTGCTGCCAGAGCAGATGCCAAATTTGAATAGAGCCAGGCCATCCTTGTTTAATGTAGCGAATACTGTCCATCTTACCACCCAGAAAAGGCATTACTTGCAAGTCACTTACGGTCAAATCCACAGACACATAATCAAAGAAAATAAAAGTTTTTTTGAGATACTGACCAACAACTTGCCTTCTAAAAAACAGTTGTAACCCACATATGCTTTTGGAGACCACAGTTATTGTGGTATTCAAGGAGCAGCGGAATTGAGGGAAGATCAGAGCCAGCTCATACCTTATGTTTTCTTATATAAGAACAAGGAGGCAAAGGCCACACGCGTAACTCCAGTGGTTTCTGCTGTTCAAATTGATCTGGTCTCCCATGCATGTTCAGGGTTCAGGCATCCACACTGTGACAACAATATCTCAAAGCACCACATTTACTGTAGAATAAGTACTTTCCTCATTCTGGCATTCTTTTTGTCCCTTCATTTCTTACACCAGAATTTAAGGACCAAATCCTATTTCACTACTTAAGTCCCCCCAAAAAAGGGTTAATGCAAGAACTTAATGAGTCCTCCTCAGTGCATTTTGTTATTTTAGATTTAAGGCTAAGATGGCATGTTATAAAAGTCAGCCTGTTACATTTTTTTCCACAGACTTAAGTAAGATGGAATAGGTTTGCATAGTTAGAATAGAATCTGGCCCTAAATCTTCAAGACTGTCTTGATTGCCCTATTGCTCTGCCTCTGTAGGACAGTACAGATAAGATAAGGTTCATATTACTGCAAATCTGAACCTTTCTTTTTATTCTTGTTGGTAGTTAGAACAGTTTGAACTGAGTGGGGAGTGGAGGGCAGCAGGTGAACAAAGGAAGAATAAATAAATTGGTTCAAGTGTCTAATCCAAACTGTATTCTCCTTAGGTTCTTTCTACAGAACTGACACAGCCACAGTTCACTGTGTTGACTTTTGAAGATTTAGTTGCCTCTGGTATTCCTATATCACCTGAAGACCCTGCACAGTGGGATATCTTTTGTTCAAAGCAGGAGTGCCCAGCACGACAGAGTTCTCATTCAAGATAAGACTGCATTTACAAGGGGGAAAAAAACCTGAACATTTTCAAAGACTTCACACTTACGGTCCACAATTGTGAATGGGTGTTTGTATACAGATAAAAAGTATATTGCTCTATGCAGACAAAGATAAGGTTTGCCAGCTTCACAAAGCTGATGTCTTTGCCCCTTTGTCCCAGATAATGGGTTCATTTTCAGACTGAAGAGACTCTGAAATTAGAAGTCTAGGTTGATCCCACACCTTTTCTTCCTTATGTAATTTGCTTTTCCTGGTATGCAGTTCTCACATCTCCCTCATTGCCCCCTGCCAGGAGCAATGAGCAGAGCTATGTTAATGTGGCTCTTAACGAGCCAACAAGTGTTTAATATTTAAAGAGAATGTGGTTTTGTACTTAATTTATGCTGCTGGTGTTTAAGCAATATTATTTCCTCTCCTTTATGAAATTATAATTTTATTCTCAAATGGATGTGAAAAGCCAAAGTAAAGCAGTTGGGTACTGATGATGGTGCTGTTATACAGTGCATATTCTATAGAACATGATTAAACTTAATCTGGCACAAGAGGAGACTGATGGGTAAATCAGAAGCAACCCTTGATGCTAGGGAAGCAACACCTGCATAAAAACCAGTTTGAGAGAGACATTTCTAGTCATGTTATCATTCCTGGACTTCCAAAGGTAAGTGCTAGGACTGTGCGAAGCTTCAGTTGCTGATTCGATTTGGAGGAGATTTGGCCTGATTCGGTGGCCAAATCAAAATCAGATCAGGAGACCAATTAAAAGGTCGGAATTGATTTGAAGCCTCCAAATCAATTTGGAAAAGATTCAGAGATTCAGGCAGTCTCCCCTTGCTCCCTGTGACCACCGGGTTTCAATTCCTCGCACTCGGGTGTTTCCCCTTCTATAGAGAGTTGTCGCTCCCCTCTCGGGATCACTTTGGGATCGAAGCAGCTCTCTTTCAGCCCAGTCCCTGGCCTTGTTCTCGCCCGCCATGACTCGATGTTTCATTCAGTGTCAAGGTCGGTTCGTGTTATGCTCCGTGGCCCAGGATCCCTCAGCGGTCATATCACGGGGCTCCGCCACCCCTATACCCCGGCCTCATGCCACCTCCCATGCGTTCTTCCTCTACGGGTCCAGGTCTACAGCCGTAGGGTACTATTTTCGTCCCGGCCTGCCTGTCGTGGCGCTTAGCTCTATGCTTGGCCCACAGGCCCTCTGGCCTCTCCCTGTTTGACCCTGGACGGGGTCGCTGCACAGGTTCTGGCCTCACCACAGTACCCTAGACATCCCCTTCTATAGGGATACCAACTCGGTTCTCCCTTCCCTGACCAGGGATACCCCCTGCCCCAACACAACTTAAATCACAACTACTCAGCCCTCGCTCTGTGGAGCCTTCTAACTAGACCTCACCAGTCTTTTCGAGCCGTACTTGACTCCAGCCTTCCTGGTGCCTCCCTCATCTCACTGTACCGTGATGTAGCGGCGATCCCTGCCTGGTGGTACCCTCTCGGGGTTGTCCCAGGGTTTCTCCCCTGTTGTATGGCTGAGCCTTTGCAGTGTCGCTCCGGCACTTCCCTGGGGCCCCACGCTGCCGTCCCTCTGGTGCTTCGGCAGGTCCTCCACGACCACCCTTACTGCACTTCCTCCTCTGGAGCAGCCTCCCACCACGCTGCTTGTCTTCGCTCCTCCGGCCCCTCTTCTACCTCCTCCGTCATTCTGGTCACTGCCGCTCTCTCTGGCAGAGTCGGTGGCTGTTCTTCCCAGGGGCTATCCACCCCTCCCGCTGGTGGAGCCGGTACCTGCTCTCCCATGGGGCCCTCCGTTCCCTCCGCTGCCGTAGCTGCTGCTTTTATCCTTGCCGGCCGGTGGCTCCCGATGACGTCACCAGCCGGGCACACCCGTACAGATAATATTAGACCAAGTAGATATTTGCAAAAAAAAAAATTAATTGCACGCTTTCATTTCTATCTGGGAGAAAATTTACAATCTTTGCATATTGCTATGCCTAAGGAAGGGTGTATGCACCTAAAAGCTTGCAAATAAAGATTTTTTTTTTGCAAATATCTACTTGGTCTAATAAAAGTTATCACGTCTGCTACAAATCATTAATAATATTTTTCTATACTTTGAATTATTGATTACAAGTATTAGTTCACATTTTAGAGTAGATATTCATAAAGTCAGTTCTGGTAGTAAACTGTGTTATTTCCAACTGACATTCTTTTTTTGTCTATTCTGCACCAGACTATTAATACTGAAGGTAATATACTTTATATTGAATAATTGATTAATGAAAAAATGTATTATTCTCTTTGAATCACTGAAAATTAGGGTTTGAAGGGACCTCAGGAGGTCATCTAGTTCAACTAGTTATTTAGCTCAATAAGCAGTGGTGGCTGTGTGGTAGAGTTTTTGCCTGCTATGTGGGAGATCTGAGTTCAAGTTGTGGCTGAGTGAAGTGATAGGGCAGAACTCTTTAACAAATTCTTCACCTCCGTTTTCTTGTGCAGGGACCGGGACTTCCCCACCGTGATGCAAGACGGACTTGAGGGGAACGCCTCCAGACCTCAGGTTGGGAAGGACCGAGTTAGAGAGCTTCTGGAGGGGCTGGACATGTTCAAGTGAGCGGGTCCAGATGCTCTCCACCCCAGGGTGTTGAGGGAGCTAGCTGGGGTTATTGCAGGGCCCTTGGCACGGCTTTACGAGCGCTCGTGGTGCTGGGGCCAGGTGCCAGATGACTGGAAGATAGCTAACGTGGTCCCCATCTTCAAAAAAGGGAAGAGAGAGGACCCGGGCAACTATAGGCCCGTCAGTCTTACCTCTATCTTTGGGAAACTCTTTGAGAAGATCCTCAAGGAGCACATCTGTGATGGGCCAGCTTCAGGGGTGATGCTCAAGGGCAACCAGCAC